TCCCATAGCCCCTCCCCCTTTTCTTGTTTCCTCCTGTCCTTCTAGGGCTGCCAACCTCTAGGGTGGGCCTGGCGATCCCCTGGAATCTTGAGGGGTCTTCCAGCTCGAGATCAGTTCCCGCTGAGGATTGCCAGATCCAAGTTGGGAAACCCCTGGAAATTGGGGGGTGGAGCCTTCGGAGGGTGAGGTTTGGGGGGGGAAAGCAACCTCAGCAGGGGACAGTGCTGTAGAGTCCACCCTCCATAGCAGCTGTTCTCTCCAGGGGAACCATTCTCTGTCACCATGAGATCAGTTGTCATTCTGGGTGATCTCCAGCCCCCACCTGGAGGTTGGTGAGCCTACTTCCCAAGGAATAAATGGCTGGTCTGAGAGGGCTATCTGCCCCTCTGAAGTCCCTCCCCTCCGCACCCTCCCCAGGCTCCATCCCCTCCAGTCTCTAGGAATTTCCTCACCTAGAGTTGGCAACCTCTCCTTCCCACCCAACACTTCATGAGCCAAACAGAGATACTTAACTTTCCCAAAGAATCATGGAGGTACATCTCAAATAGCTTGGCTTGTAATATAGAAAAATGATATTAAGCCCTGTCTACAAACCACAATAAGCCCTTTTGTTCTGGTCCACCAAAGCGATTCTCACGTGTCTCCTGAGCATATGAAGGTCTGTGATGTTTAGAGGTGCGTCTCCATTCTCTTTGATTTCCCATGTGACTCTCTGTGTCTCTCCTTCTCCCCCCCCCAGAGAGAAGCCTCTCTTCATAGCCAAGTGACTGAAGGCATCTTTACACAGTCAGAGGTGACCCGAGAGAAAGAGATGGAACATCAGAACCCAGAAGGACCTGGAACTGGCAGGACAGCGAAGAAAGACCCCCATCCCAACCAAGCTGGGAGTGGTGTTGAATCCTGGGAAAGCCCAAGGCCAGAGATCAGTTATCAGCTTACTGCAGTCTCAGACGTCCGTTGCCGACGCTTCCGGCAATTCTGCTACCATGAGGCCGACGAGCCCCGAGAGGTCTTCAGCCAGCTCCACGGACTTTGCAGCCACTGGCTGGAGCCGGAGAGGCGCACCAAGAAGCAGATCCTGGACCTGGTGATCCTGGAGCAGTTCCTGACTCTCCTGCCCCAGGAAATGCAGGGCTGGGTCAGAGGATGCGGGCCGGAGACCAGTTCCCAGGCGGTGGCCCTGGCCGAAGGCTTCCTCCTGAGTCAGGCCGTGGAGAAGAGGCAGGCAGGACAGGTGAGGGGGGTTCCCTCCAGAGATATGCCCAATTCAAGCAAGGATATCTGGCCTTATCTTCAAATTTCCCTGGGAGATATTTGTCCAAGTGTGAATCACCCAAGTGGGAGGTTTAATGGCCTACTTCAGCAACCTCTTCTACTGGAGAATTCCTGATCCCTCCAGAGAACTCACCAGGTCTGCTGATGGAAGGGTGCAGAGTCTGGGAGTGGGGCAGGATCCATTCCTTGGCCTCTTTTCCATTCCACCTCTTACCCCTCTCCCTCCCTGCTGTTTCAGATGTGGGCACCATCCCTGAAGAAGGAAGCCACAGTCCCTGAGGCGGAAGGAGCTTCCTTGGAGCAAGGGCAGGGGGCGCAGGCTGTGGAGCGTGCCCAGGATGCCCTCTCCTGTGGTAAGGGCCTGTCGTGCCTGGATGCAATTGGGGCACCCAGTGAATTTGGTGGGTAGAAAATACTTTTTCACACAACACAGAGTTAATTTGCAGCACTTAATGTCCAGGAATTGTGATGCCTGTAAAAGGTGATTAGACAAACTCACAGAGGGCAATTCTACCTATTAATTAAAATGTTCACATCTCACCTTCCTTCCAGAAGAGGAACTGAAGGTGGCTCAAAAGGGAAAAGCCTCCACCTTCCGGGGCAGCAGAGCTCTGAGAACCAGTTCCTAGAGGGGCCAGTAATCATGGGAAATTTGGCTTCTGTGCCCGTCCTTAAAGGGGCCTCTGGAGGGCCGCTGTGGGAAACAGGGTGCCAGGGGAGGGGGTGGCAGGTTATGGCCTGACACCCCCAGGAACTTTGGGGAGGGGCGTACCTAAGGGACCGCCTTTCCCCATATGTTCCACCAAGAGCACTATGGTCAGGGGCGCAACACCTTTTGGTTGCTCCAGGCCCCAAGGATATCAGGTTTACAAGCATCAAAAATCCCTCTTGGCAGTATGACTCTGTAGTTATTTGGCATGATCTTGTACGTTTTTAAGACTTTATTTTATTGCAGCCAAAGAGTCAGAAATGTCATATCGAAGAGCCTTTAGTAGACAAACTCAGAGTTTAGACTTTATTGCGACCTTATTGGAAGCAGAGGGCCTGGCCAGGCTAGAGAGAGGCTTTGAGAGATGACAGCAGCTAAGCCTGCAGAGCCTTATGGGAGAGGAACCAAACCGCCATTCCAGGCTGCTTTTTCAGAAATGCCTCAGGCGCGCTGGTTTTTCTGCCGTAATGTTCTATTGAAATCAGTGGGAATGAAAAATTGTAACTTTTGCAAAAACAAGGACCACTGGGGAAAAATAAATGCAAGAATTTTGAGTATTTTAAAGTAGAAATATAAAAATCAGGCAGCCGTAGACACACGAAAACTCACCTGTTTCTCTGCCCAGTTCTTCCGCCTGCTTTCAGTGTTTGTTTGCTTTTCATCGTCACTTGCAGTCTTGCTCCTGCATGTCTCGGTGTGATTTCCCCCCCCTTTTAAGTTCCACTCTTGCAAAAATGTGACCATGTGGGGAAACTTCCGTCTGCTTCAAGATGGCAGATCCTTTGAGTGAATGATTTAAGGCCTCTGCCGCGTTTTGGCTGATAAACAGACACAGGCTGAAAGGCAGCCACAAAGGCAGGTGCCACCAAGGCCGATGCTCCACAGCACAGGTGTTCACTCGCGTGTGTTTGAGTGGAGTGCCTGAAAAGAGCCTTCACTGACATGTGGGTGTTCGTGAACAGCGTGGTTTCCATGATGTATGAAGTAAAAATCTGCCCTCTTAAACTAAGGAGTACATTTACAGCACAGAACGTGACACCGTGCAATCAAGGAAAGAAAAGCCACAAAAGCAGGTAGACAAAGGAAGGGATGCTTTTCTGCAGAAAACACTGGCTTTGAATAGTAACCGAGAGTCCGGTGAAGGGGCAAGCGAAACTCTTGATGTGGCAGGGAAGGGCAGTGGGTCTTGAACAGCAGTTGTGTGTCCCAGCTCATGGCACCCGGCCGACACAGGTGGGTCGGCTCTTACACCTTCTCACATTGCCGTTGGAACTGGGTGTGTGGGGCCAGCAGGTGCCGGGAGGGTGGGAACCACCCTGGGAGAAGGAACCCTCCCCCCCCCCCGCTGTCGCCCTGCACTGAGATAAAAATCTCTGCACTGTTACATGGAGCCCTGTTGGCAGCATTTACAATCCCAAAGGCTCATAGATACCTGGTCCTTCACTTCTGCCTTTCCCAGAATTGAGTATAAAATGTGTTTTACAATGGGTTGAGTGTACACAGGGCGAGGCTTCACAACCCTGGGAAGGGTGTGTGTGAAGCAGAGAACAAGCAGGCAAACTCCCTCTCTCCCTCCTTTGCTTCAGGAGCAGGCAGTGAAGAGATGCCGTTGAGCCGTCGTCTTTTCAGAGGTGTTGAAACGGCTGCTGCCCCTCCAGTCCAGGTAGGGGAGATGAGGATTGGAGGGGGGGGGGACAGCCTGGGTCCCTCCTCCTTTCTCAGGGGGCTTCTTCTGCAGTCTCTACAAGGTGTCGGGTTGAGAGATCCCTCCCTCCTTACCCAGCGAGATCTTCTTAACACCTCTCCCTTTACCCATTCCGTGCCCATACATCCTGTACCTTCCCAGACGACTCCCTTCCCGTGTGCAGTCTCTGCCTGGCATGATCTCTTGACGAGGGAATCTGCTTTTTCTTCCAGGGCCCCTTTTCCTTTGAGGAGGTAGCCGTGTATTTCACTGTGGCAGAGTGGGCCCTGCTGGATCCAGGACAAAGAGCTCTGTACAGGGACGTCATGCGGGAGAACTATGGGAACGTGGCCTTTCTGGGTAAGGATCTTTCACAGGTGCCAAAGGTGCGAATTGCTGCCATTGTGAGGAGGCATGAATCAAAATATTAAATAGCAATACAGCGTTTTAAGGCCTGTCCCAGTACTTGGGGAGGGGGTGTGGCTCACCGGCAGAGCACCTGCTTGGCATGCAGAAGGTCTCAGGTTCAAACCCTGGCAGCACCTCCAGTTAAAAGGACAAGGTAGGAGGTGATGTGAAAGACCTCTGCCTGAGTCCCCGGAGAGCTGCTGCCGGACTGAGTAGACAGTGGGCCAAAGGTCTGATTCAGTAGACGGCAGCTCCTTGTGTTCATCTGTGTGTGTCCTTGCCCAGGATCCTGTCAAGAACCAAAGCCCCCCGGGTCCCCCTGGGTCACCACTCCTTGTACCTGAGCGGAAACCAGTTCAGTGGGTTCACGAGGAGAGTGCAGACAAGTAAAGCAGGCACCATTTAAAAATACATATTAGGGATGTAAAATATTAGGGATTTAAAAATAAAACATCGGCTACGGTGGAGACAGACAATGGCCTTGAATCCTAAGAAAGGCTGGAGAGTTCAACAGGATCCCAAGAGCATATTTCCTTCCCGAGTGAGCTAGCTGAGAGTGAGTATCCTCCACAGTTATGTCAAGGGAAACAGGCAGGCTCAGAGACTTCTGGCTCTTCAGGGGGGTGAGTTATCCTTAAATACAAATATTCTGGGGTTAGGTGTGGAGGGGTGGTTAAGATCAGCCAAGCTGGAGGAGGCCGAAGGGTGATCAGTCCTGTCCTCCTGCAGTGACATAGATGCCTTTGGACCTTACCTGCCCTCCCAGGTGTTCATGGGCTCTCTCTCTTTATCCAGCAGAAGATGAACAGAGGAATGAGAAGCGTGAGGAATTTGATCAGCAATTGCAAGATAGATTTAAAAATGAAGACTTGAAAGAAAACGGGAGGGATCAAGGTGGATCTAAGAGAAAGAAAGGCAGCCGTACGGTCGAGAAACGAGATGGAAGAAAGCATAATGTACATTTTCCAAAGCAGAGGATAATGAAGGAAACTACATCCATTCAGTGTGGAAAGTACTTTAGAAATACATCACAGCTCCTTGTGCACCAAAGAATACACAGAGGGGAGAAACTGTTTGGATGGTCGAAGTCTCGAAAGAGGTTCAGTCAGAGTGGCATTCTTCAACTGCACCGAAGGACCCACACAGGGGAGAAACCTTTTGAATGTTCAGAGTGTGGAAAGAGATTCAGTCAGAGAGGCCATCTTCAACGGCACCAGAGAACCCACACAAGGGAGACACTTTTTGAATGCTTTCAGTGTGGAAAGGGTTTCAGTGACAGTCGAAGTCTTCAACGGCATCAGAGAACCCACACAGGGGAGAAACCTTTTGAATGCTCTGAGTGTGGAAAGAGATTCAGTGAGAGTGGCACTCTTCAACGACATCAAAGAACCCACTCAGGGGAAAAACCTTTTGAATGTTCAGAATGTGGAAAGAGATTCAGTCAGAGTGGCAATCTTCGACATCATCAGAGAACCCACACAGGGGAGAAACCTTTTGAATGTTCAGAATGTGGAAAGAGATTCAGTCGGAGTAGCAATCTTCAACGGCATCAGAGAACCCACACAGGGGAGAAACCTTTTGAATGTTCAGAGTGTGGAAAGAGTTTCAGTGACAGTGGAAGTCTTCAACAGCATCAGAGAACCCATACAGGGGAAAAACCTTTTGAATGCTCAGAGTGTGGGAAGAGATTCAGTCGCAGTGGCCATCTGCTGAAGCATCAAAGAACCCATACAGGGGAGAAACCGTTTGAATGTTCAGAGTGTGGAAAGAGATTCAGTCAGCATCAGAGAACAAATTAAGAGCTACATTTGGCCTTCTAATCTTGCTTCAGAATATATTGTATGTATTCTTAGATGCACCAATTGGATTATTTCATCAATAGTAAGAACACACCATTCATCTAGATGAGTTTCACGTGTTTAAGTTAGAAGAGACATAGGTAATAAGACTCCTATTTTTCGATAAAAATGTGATAAGTGAATCAGATTTCTCTAGAGAGCACTCTTAGACAAGATTGTGTGAAATTCATGTCTCTCTGTCCTGGGTTTGTAGGTGAAATTTAAAGCAAGCCAGCTTTCAGATATTGTTTCAGGAAGTTTTCCTATTATGTTATTGTTGAGAAATGGAAGGAGGTTTGAACATTTTGGCACTTGTTTTTTTCCAGTAGCCAGAGAATTAAGTTTGATATGCTTGTATTTTTAACGTCTCGTCTAATAAAGAGCTATTTTTTCTCCAATTAAAGATAAAACTCTCTGAGGGTCTTCTGTCTGGTTCACTGGTTCAACAGCGGCTCCGTTTACGCAACTTTGCCTCCTCTCTTTGCAGCTTCTTCCAAGAAAGCAACCAGGCCCTTGGCCCAACCTTTCCTGCTCCCACAGAGACAGAGGAGGGGGCCGGCTGATCTCAAAAGAGGATCTTCGGTCTGCAGGGCCAAGTGGTGGAAATACCTGTCTGCAGGCTGGGCCAGGTGCGGATGCCACCGATTGGCTGGAGCTGGTGATGATGTCACAGGCCCAGCCCCTCTCCTCCCTCCCCAGGAACCATGGACTCCTAGAGTTGGAAGGGACCTCTGGGGTCACCTAGTCCAACCCCCCCCTTGCACAAGGCAGGAAATTCACAGATACCTCCCCCCCCCACACACACACACACTGACCCCTGCTCCATGGCCAGAAGATAGAAAATGGAAAAAAAAAAAACAAGGACCCCCAGCCAAACTGGCCTGGGGGGGGGAATTGCATCCTGGCCCCAAAGTGGCCACCAGCCTTGTCCTGGGCGTGTAAGAAAGGGCCCCGAGAACGAATCACTGAGGCGACCCCTCCCTGCCGCCTCCCTCTCCTTGTCTGCCTAACTTCACAGAATTTGCATGGCCGAGCCGCTGTCGGGAAACCTCCAGAGGAGGAGAGCCCACCACCTCCTCCCGAGGAAGCCTGCTCCACTGAGGGAGTGTGAAGAAGAAGAAGAGGAGACTGGATTCATACCCCATGGCCCTTCACTATCCCCCCCAAGGAGTCTCCCAGTGGCTGACAAACTCCTCTCCCTCCCCCTCCCCACAAGAGACACCCTCCTGTGAGGCAGGTGGGGCTGAGAGAGCTCCTGACAGAAACTGCTCTTTTTCAAGGACAGCTCTTGTCAGAGCTATGGCTTGCCCAAGGTCATCCAGTAGCTGACCCGCGGTTATTTGAGCAGATCTCCAGGCCCTCCCTAGAGGTTGGCAATCCCACCATCCCAGTGGGGCGCCCCCCATTCCGTCTCCCTCCCGGAAGGGGGGGGATTGGACGACTAAGTCAGGAAAGGGGAGGGCTGCAGGAGGAAGCCGCCCCCTCCACGACCCCGGAGAGAGGGTGAGGTGGGGTGGTCTCCTTCGCTGCGGCTCCCTACAAAGCCAGGACTCGGGTGGTCCCGGCAGCAGCGCCCCGATTGGGGGTGGGGTGTATGTGTGTAAAGTCTCCGACGTTGTTGTTGTGGGAGGAGGGGTGGGTGGGGTGGAGTCCTTCCCCAGCCCGCCTCCCGGCCTCCTCGGGGTGGGGCAGAGGCTGAACCGTGGCGTCCCTTACGGGTCTGGGGGGGGAGGGTGACCCCCCCATTGAGTGCGCGCGGCTGTGGTCACACTAAAGAATCCACTTTCAGGGCACTTCCCGAGTGGGTTTTTACGATGGGAACTGGCAAGCGCCACTTGGAAAGGGCAGTGAGAGAGGATTCTTTAGTGTGTGTGTGTTTGCGTGTGTGTGACTGGTCTGGGGGGGGTCCTCCTGGGCTGCCCTATGCTGGGCCTCCTTCCCCAGCCCGCCCCCTGCCTCCTGGGGTGGGGCAGCGGCTGAATCGTGGCTTCCAGGAGGGGGGGGGTTCCCCCACTAAGTTTAGGTGACTGCTCTGGTGGGGAGGCCTGGTGGGTTAGGCATTGAAGTGTTGAGGGTCAAAACCATTGGGGAAGCTTGGAAACTATTTAAAACTACGATCCTAGAAGCTCAGAAAACATATATACCGCAGGTTAGGAAAGGCACAAACAGGTATAGAAAAAAACCTGCACGGTTAACAAGCAAAGTAATGCAAGCGGTAAAAGGTAAGAAGGATTCCTTTAAGCGGAGGAAAGCTAGTCACAGTGAGGCTGATAAAAGGGAACACAGGCTGTGGCAAATAAAACGCAAGTCTGTGGTCAGGCAGGCAAAAAGGAGCATACAGCAAAAAACGTAAAGACCAACAATAAAACTTTCTTCAAATACATTAGAAGCAGGAAACCAGCCAGGGAGGCAGTGGGCCCTTGGATGACCAAGGGGTAAAAGGAGTACTGAAGGATGATAGGGAAATGGCTGAGAAGTTTTTTTCCATTTTTTTCCTGAAACCTTTTTTGTTTTTTTCTGAAAAATTGGAAAAATTGAAAAAAGAAAAAAAATTGACTATGGAACATTTTATTTTAACATGATGAATAAATTATTTTAAGATAAGGTGTTCAAATATTTTCCAAATCATTTCTAAATATATATGGTATCAGATGGATCTAATTTCTGTGCACTGAGGACGAGCAAGTCCTAGGTTACAAACTGAACTCTCCAATGCAAGAACAAGATGCATTTCTTCCTTTAGGAGGTGCTTTAAGAGTACTGAAGGATGATAGGGAAATGGCTGAGAAGTTTTTTTCCATTTTTTTCCTGAAACCTTTTTTGTTTTTTTCCGAAAAATTGGAAAAATTGAAAAAAGAAAAAAAATTGACTATGGAACATTTTATTTTAACATGATGAATAAATTATTTTAAGATAAGGTGTTCAAATATTTTCCAAATCATTTCTAAATATATATGGTATCAGATGGATCTAATTTCTGTGCACTGAGGACGAGCAAGTCCTAGGTTACAAACTGAACTCTCCAATGCAAGAACAAGATGCATTTCTTCCTTTAGGAGGTGCTTTAAGAGTACTGAAGGATGATAGGGAAATGGCTGAGAAGCTAAATGCATTTTTTGCCTCCGTCTTCACTGTGGAAGATGAGAAGTGCTTGCCCACTCCAGAACCGCTGAGTTCGGAAGGGGTGTTGAAAGACCTGAGTCAAATTGAGGTGACGAGAGAGGAGGTCCTACGACTGATAGACAACTTAAAAACT